CCGACCATGATGAAAGAAATGGGTAGTTACAAGCAGTTGCTAAACGATCAAAACTGCCCAAGCCGTATAAAAGAAAGAAGAAGACAACGAAGAAAGCCCCGACAAAATTCACTCTCAAAACAGAGAACATGTAATTTACTTTTCTTAGATTAATTTTTAATTACTTCAATTCCCTTGTACTTATATGCTTGCGCCCCTTGGAGGCATCTTGTTCGTGTCCAAACTTTAATCTTCATATTCGATAAACACCCCTTTTTGGGACTTTGTTTCAAGAGGTTTGTCCCTTACACAATCGTCTGATCCCTTTTTAATTGTTAGCGAGTAAAATGCGCGAAACACAAATAAATTGTACTTATTCTTGATTAGAGCAACAACAATAATGGCAATAAAAAAAAGTCAAGGACATCATAAACCAAGTTGCCAAATATGAAACTCACATAACCCACACCTATGTATCTTCGTCTTCTATCTTTATAGAGTTATCTACCTTTTTGGTCTTTGTCCACAATGAAAAAGGAAAAAAAAATGGGATTTCTTGGCAAATCCCCTTAAAGGAAATATGAAACGAAGGCCATCATTGCAAAGCCCTTAATAACAATAAAGTCATCATTGCAAACCCTTTAATAACGACATAACTAACATTAATTGTGCTCAATCTTGACAAAACTCCTTAATTGAATTATGAAACAAAGACACCAAATAATGTGATTGAAGCAACAAGGTTTAGGAGTTGTGGGTGGGGATTTTTTGAAGAAGAGCCAATGGGGATGATGGTGAGGAAAAACAGAGTTGTGGGTGAGGAGGATTTTCCTTTGCGGTGGAATCAGGACAACTGGTGTGTATTTTGGGGGTTTTAGTGGTTTTAGAACGTATAGTTTACATTCTTAAATAGTTCAATTATTTAATAACGTATTAATCAAATTAATAAAAAAATTGAGAGTATTGGGCCTAATTTTCCCTTATTTTAATAAGAACTAAAATGAAAATCATATTGGGCCTAGACCAATTGCATGGGAATGGAATTAAAAATTGAATTGGACTCCTTTGTCTCTACCATATATAAAAGAGTCAGTTTGTCATTACTGTTCATAAGCCGTTAGCTGAGCTGAACCAAGCGGCTTTATAGCTGGCTCGGCTAGGCTAGGCTAAATTTTTGGTTTTTTCTTTGATTAGTTTTGTTTACAGTCGAGCCAAATTGCTTTATGGCTCGGCTCTTTTTTTTTTTTATGTTTGATTCTGTATTTTAAGTTACAAATATTCGTTTTAAGCGATTTAAAATTTGTTGGAAATGTTGAAGTGCGACCATGATAAATATATGATCGATAAGTTTTAAACATTTAATTCAGTATTTTAAATTATAAAATAGATTTAAAATTTGTTGAGAATGTTGGAGTGCTGCCATGATAAATATATGATCGATAAATTTTAAATATCAAAATAATTTTACTTTAATTGTGAAACGTAAAGTCGTGATTGTTTATATTTCTTTTTAATCTCAACCTCATTCTATTCTCATTTTTTCGAACTTTATGGCTCGGCTATGCCCCTTTTTTTTTTTGTTTTTTTTTACGTTTGATTCAATATTTTAATTTACAAATATTTGTTTTAAGTGATTTAAAATTTGTTAAAAATGTTGAAGTGCGGCCATGATAAATATATGATCGATAAATTTTAAATATCAAAGCAATTTTACATTAATTATGAAACGAAAAGTCGAGATTGTTTATATTTCTTTCAAACAATTTTCATAAACTTCATGGAAGCAAAGTAGTCAAGGGCATATCAAACTCATGCGTATAAATCTATTCACACATCTGCTGTGCAATCACATCCTTAGAAGTATATCATGTGACAAGCAATTTTTTTTTTTTGTTAGGATGGAGTACATATACAACATTGGTGATCGCTGTGATGCAAAGGTTACAACACGCTCTAACGTGTTGAATGTGGAAAAAGTATATGAAGCATTAGATGATATCCATAAGGAGAAGTTCTTGAAGTCATGCTTTGGTAAACTGTATGACATCAGGAACATGAAAATATCTACTCAATTAATTCACAACCTATTATTACGAAGGGTTATCTCTGTCAATGAGGATGAATTGTGGTTTTGTTTAAGTTTGGAAAAAGTTGTTCATTTCTCCCTATACGAGTTTATGCTCGTCACTGGATTAAGCCATGCGAATGAGGAGGAGTATGAGAGTTAGATAAATGAAAATGGTAGATTGAGAAATAAATATTTTCCAACATCTAACAAGGTTATGCCTAAAGAATTAAATGAGGCATTTGAAAAAGAGGTACAAGACATGGATGATAAATACAAATTGGGTTTAGTGCTTATATATGAAACTGAGTTGAGGTCCAACGAAAAAAAATACATCTATAGATTTTTGCACTTGAAAAATAGTTGATGATTTGGAGCTATTCAATGCATATGCTTGGGGAACTAAAAATTTCAAATTTACGGTACATACATTCCTTAGAGTGTCAAAGGATCTGAAACCCAAATACTCATTGTGGGGATTTTCACTAGCGATACAGGTAAATGGTCAAAACTTATGATTTAGACATTGTTTTTATTTGCTTTTAAATATTTGTAAATAACTTATAAATCTTCTTTTAGGTTTGGGCGTTCGAGTCTATTCCTTGAATAGCAAACACGTGTCATACTAGGTTACCTATCAACGGGCTGCCGAGAATGTGTCGTTGGAAATCAACACTTACTTCTAATTCTCATGACATTGCTGAAGTCTTGGATGATCTACAAGTGAGTATATCTTCTATATTGTAATTACTTTTGAACGTTACCTCAAGTACTGCTAAAAGGATTTTGTTTGTCGATTATTCAGCTCCAAATTCGATGCTCATTAACAGCTTCTCTCGATGAGACTGAACAACAATATATGAAATTATTCGTTCACGGAACTAGAAAAGAAGATCCAATCTTAAATGTTTATCTCTACGAGGATGGAGACTACCCAGATGTTGGTGATGCAGAACTAGATGATGATCTAAATCCACCGCAAAGACAGAGGGAGAGAGTCTCTCCGAATATATGTGATGAAGATGTATGCATATTTTTAACCGTAATTTATAATCTTTAGTCAATTTCGATTTTTGTCCAGTTGTGATATAGTTCAGGTACAAAGTCGGTTTGATAGAGTAGTATCTGTGGTGCTCGAAAACTACTGGTTCTATCGTTGTATCCTGAAAAATGAACGCTCAGTTTAAACCTCAAGTACAGACGGTGATGGATCGAATATGTTTTAAGGAAATTGTGTGTAACACAGGACTTGGGTTAAAACTTTTCCTTTTATTTAACTTTTGTAAGTGTTTGTTTTGTAACTCGGTTATACAAATTTATATTTTGCATCTCTACTTGCAATTTTATTACTTATTATACTTTACTATAAGTTGACATATTATTGAATCTGGTATGTATAATTGAATATGTTGTATTCATAGTTGTGGAATCTGCTAGTGCATATCCAGTTAACGGTAAATGCGGTGTGAGTCTTCCACTTATGGCAGAATTTCAATTCAGTAAGGTGTGCATACACCTTAAGTAAAATTGACAGAATTTCAATTGAGTAGGGCGTGCCCATACCTTAAGTAAAATTCACTAATACGGTATCTATTCTGCATATTCGGTACTCAATTAGTAAATCTGATATTTAATTTCGTGAAACTTGTCCAACAAAATCCAACAAACTGAAAACAGATTCTTACTTTAAAGATAAGTTTCATATGGTTTATTGGAAACTAATATATTTGTTTCATTTTCAGAAATGGCAACTGAACAAACCAACATGGATATAACCCAAGTTGTGGTTACTAGAAATCAAGTTATGGGCTTTGTTGTGGCTCAATGGCCAAGTTCTGTTGTGATTCAGACTATAGCTAGATTGCCAAGTCATGTTGTGAGTCAAACAATTGGCCATACCATTACTGTTTCGGTTAATCAATGATGAAAAATTAGAGAAATTCAATGGCTTGAATTTCAAGAGGTGGCAGTAGAAAATACTATTTTATCAGACCACCTTGAATTTTGACTGAAACTGCTCCAAAACTGAATGAAGATGAGGGAGACGTTCAAGCAATCAATGCACTTGATGTTGGAACCATTCGAATTTTCTGTGTCGAAACTACATTATGAATAGCTTAGCAGACATGTTATACAACGTATATAATACTATGAAAACTGATAAGGAGTTTTGGGAGTCTTTGGACCGAAAATATAAAACTGAGGATGTCAAGGCTAAAAATTTCATTGTCGGCAGATATTTAGATTATAAGATGGTGGACTCCAAAACTGTAATCAGTCAAGTGCAAGTACTCCAAGTAATTCTTCACTAAATTTTTTCCGAAGGGATGATGTTGAGTGAAACTTTCCAAGTGGATGCAATTATTGAAAAATTGCCCCCCGCATTGAAAGATTTCAAAAATTATCTGAAGCAAAAACGAAAAGAAATGAATGTCGAAGAACTGATTATTAGACTTCGAATTGAACAAGACAAAATTTTTGAGAAGAAGTGGTTTAATCCTAGTGTTGCTAAAGCCAAAGTTATGGAGCATGGTCAAAGCAGTAAAACCTACAAAAATAAGGCTGGGTCATCCGGTGGTAAATGGACCAAATTATGACCTAAAAGTGGAATTTCTAAAAGAAAGTTTCAAGAGAAATGCTTCAATCGTGACAAAGTGGATGGCAAGTCTTCGGAATGAAGATTGCCAAAGAAGAAGAAAGAAACAAATACGGTATCTATTTTGCATATTCGACACTCAATTAGTAAATTCGATATTCAATTTCATGAAATTTGTCTAACAATATCCAACAAATGTTCACCTTTGAATGGCTGAACATGTCAAATTATGCAGTAGTGTCACATCCACAGATCTTATCCTTGGCGATATAGATCATCATCTCCGGTGAAATTGATATCCTGTTCCAACCATACAATTCAATTATTAGCTGCTTGGTAGTGTAAGTGTGACTAGGGGCGGAGTCAAAAATATTATTAATTGCAGGCACAATTTAATCGAAGTCGAATTTTGACTTTTCGGGAACTGAGATGAAGTTGAAATTTGAACTCTTAAATTGAAGTATGTAATATACATTCAAATTTTTTCAACTAATATATCAACTCAAACCTCAATAAACAAATGAAACATGTCCAAAAAATTTATTTAATACAGAAAGAAAGCAATATATCAAGGCGCAGTCTACCTTAAAAAAAAAAAAAAAAGGGCAGATTGGTGGCTGACTGGAAAGCACATACAGGCAGTTGTTGAAGGGGACGGACACAAGACGGCAAAATAAAAAAAAAAAAACGGCAGACACGAGAAGAAGACAGGCATACGCATAGGAAAATTAATTACTTTCCGTCGATTTTTTGTGATGTGTTTTAACTTTTATTTGTTTAATCCCAACATTATGACTTGCTAAATATTTAAGTGTTAGGATTTTGATGAACCTGTATCATGAATATTTAACTAGTGATTTTTTTTTTTGACGTTCAAAACACGTTTTCAATTCTTGAATGATTGACATGAATTTATTTTTATCTACAATTACTTGATCACTAATTGTATGAATATTATGGTTTGTTTTACCTTCGAAATATGAAAAATAAATTAGCCATATTGTCGATTGTCGTAGAGATCGATAAAGGATATAAATATATCACCATACTTTACGTGATCTTTAATTATTCACAAATTCATTAATTCATTTTTATATGTTCGCATCCGTCACGGAAATATAGTCGGGTCACATGTAAAATTAAATTTAATTCAATTAGAGAGATATTATTAAATATATTAGGAATATTGATCTTCATAATTAAATCGTGTTGTGAAATTTATAAATTCCGGATTAAAGGGAATTGATACAAGTGGATTTGAGATCCTAATACGCTTTTTCATCATCATATTTTTATAAAACTGTCATTTAATTATAATCTTGCATTTATTTTAGATAAGTTAGATCTTGCATTTATAAGTAGATTATTTAATTTATAGAAGTTACAACTGAACCTAATAAAAGGATAAGGGCCCAGCAGAAATTACTTAGTTTTCGAGACCCCGTTATAAGTTCTATACTTCTATCCACAGGGAAAAATCATAAATTTCAATTGTTTTCATTAAGACTAAGTTAATTCAAATTTAAATTGGTACAATCTTCGTGAGAACGATACTTGGAACTCAAAATTCATTTTCCTACGAATTGTGCGCTTGTGGTGTTTAAGACAAAACAAATATTTCACGACACTTGTATATTTTCCTCTTACGGCCATGATTTTCTAGCTACATTACTTTTTACCTATAATTAATAATATATAATGAATTTTTCCAAGAAGGTTAAAAATAAATAAATAACAGGTGTGACAAAAAGATGATGAAGGGACTTATCATCTACTTATTCTTATCAACAACATAAAATGATATACCCTTCGAGTGGCCACAATTTAGCTGCAATTGGTCCCAAAAACTTTTTTCTTTTTTATCAAGCAACTTCTATTTATGGGAATGTTAGTAGTAGTCACATTCGTAATCATGTTGGGAGATACCTTATGCTTTACAAATTACTAGATTATATTTTTCGATCTTGATAGTTGATATAAAAAGAACTGTAAGGGTATTAACGATAGACGATTTTATAGAAAAATCAATTGTTAATATGCTCGTCGTCGTTACTTAGCTAGGAAGCCTAAGAGATTTGAGAATATTGTTTACGATACAACATATTATTATTATTTTATTAATAAGTGGTTGATATAAGGGTAATACTCGTGAATCTCTCAAAACGTGTGCATATATAAAAAAGTGATTTGAATATTTATAAACAGTTTATAAATATAAGCCAAACATAGGTTAACTTTCAAGAACGTGATTTAAATTGTGACAGAATAAAATTCAATTACCCAATTATAAATAAATATTTTACCTTATAAATAAATCCACTGCAAATTATTCTTAATAGATCGTCTAACGAGAATTTATAGCATAAAGCCATAATTAGTGGACTAATTGATTGTTAGGTTTAGCTTTAATTGTGGTTACATATAAAATCGCCTAATATACACGTGTCAAAAAAATTTGTCAAATCAAAAGTAAGAGGAAAAAGCAAGTTTTTATTTGTTTCCATTAGTTTGTATATGACTACTCATCTATGCAAACGAATGGTTCAACATGAATAAAATTATCGAGT